TCAATTAGGCGTGTCCGAGAAGAAACGAGCGTGCTCGGCGAGCAAATCGGGGACGATTCTCGCGTCGTGCGACCGGTCGACGCGTGGGCAGTCGCGTACCCGGAGATTTGTAAGCGGCAGCCATTAGGATCGTCGAGAAGTTTCGGATCGATCGGATAGGTTAATTGGTTAACCGTGGATCGAGAGATCCGTGTTCGGTTCTCCCACCGATCGTTCGATCGTGTTCCTACGGGAGATTCTTAATCCGGGGGACGCGAGCGGATCCCTGGACGCGACGCGAGCGATGCGACGCAGCCGGCGCCGCGCTCGAAACCGCAAGAAAAATCCCCCTGAATTATCGGTGCGGTTCTCGGTGCATGCTGTTGCATCGATGGCGATAGAAGCGGCCGGAGGACCGTGTAACTGTGCGCGCAAACGCCGAGCGTCCGCGCGGACCCAGAGGCGTAACATCGGTGTGTAGCCGTTCCCGGTGTTACCACTGACCGTGCATTATCAGAATGTAACGACGTCAGCGGTACACGCGACCAGCACCGGACACCGCACGCACGACGACCATACCGCGGTCTCTTAATCATCCGATTTTTACTCCCGCACCACCCACCCCCGCGCTCACCCGCCATCTCGGTTCGCCCTCTATCGTTTTTCCAATCGATACGAAAATTCCCCGAGACCCGATCGAAATCACCCTCTATTTCTCTATTATTTATTTATACGGACCTCCAGTCTAGTCACACAACATTCGACATAGAGGTAAATGGGGTAAAATCGCATACCTAACATGTTCTTGTTGCCTACAAAAAATCACAGAGAAATTCACCAAGAAAGGTTTTACAAAATATTACCGATCGAAATCACCCTCTATTTCTCTATTATTTATTTACACGGACCTCTAGTCCATTCACACAACATTCGACATAGAGGAGAATGGGGTAAAACCGCATACCTAACATGTTCTTGTTGCCTACGAAAAATCACAGAGAAATTCACCAAAAAACGTTTTACGAAATATTACCAGAAGCACACTTGTTAAGCAAAACTAAACAATAATAATTATTATTCCCCTTATCAGCACTACTCGCCACAAATGGCAGTTTTTAAGGAAACTACAGATCTGGTGCATGTGCAATGGAGATGACGAAAAAGAACATAACAAAAACCTGTATAACTGTATGCCACGACAATTCTTAGGTATCCGATTTTCTCCCAACGTGAGATAATTTAATAAACATGATGTTTCATCGCCCCAACGTAGGCTAAACTATTGATCGAACCGTCAACGTGCTAGGCAAGAGATACAAGAATACAATGCTCTACTTGCACAAGTTGATTCTCTTGCATAGAAGTCGTAAACAATGCTCGAATCACCAACATAGTAAAAAACTGATACGTGCTAGCTGATTCTTTGTCTCAAAATACTTTTAGAGAAGGTTTATAACTAGTAGCAGATGTTAGGCGGAAACAGAGGCGTGTGTGGTACATAAATCTGTAACTTCGTGCACTTTGCGTGTAAATAACAAAGTGGAAATCTACTACTTCCTCGATCCAAGTTTGAATACTAAACAATAATCTAGGATAAATAATTTGATGGACAGAACGAATACAAGAGATTATTTAACCGTGTTTGAGTCGGATTAGTCGCGAGGAATCATGATTACGATCGCCATCGAAGCTACACCCACGGAAAGTTTTGCAGTCTGCTGGATATGGTATGGAAAAAATGATCCGCTACGGATTGTTCGAGCGGGACAATAACTAAGGAGTTTGAACGCTTAGACAGTTTGAAATGAACGTCGGGGAAGGGAAGAGGAGCTTTGGTCGCATGACTTTGCTCCACCGGAACGATTTAAAACCACGCGTCGCAAAGGAAACGATACAAAAGTGATGGATCATCCACCATTATTCTATATTGATCCGTCAGATTTCTACCTTTTGAGGACCGTTCTATGAAACCTTCCATTACTCGAATGGAAGAGAAACGAGGACACGCCTAATGTCAATCGTATGTTTGGCGAAGACTTTTATTAAACGAAATCAAAAGAATTTTTTGAAAGGCAATGTAGCAAGATGGGAATTAGCGTAAAAGATGGAGTAAATTATATGGAACGAAACCGAAAATTTTGGCCACTTGACTTCCGGATCAGCCTACATTTAAATTTCTTTAGAAGATGTATAGTTCTGTATAGATCTTGTGGTTTTCTGTTGATATCTTTTGTACGACGAACGGGACCTGTACAGGTTATTATAATTTACATGGCCATTAAATTGTACCTCTTTAATTTCTTCATTATTATCTAATATAAGAACACTCTGACGGTGGTTATGCGAAATAATTGAGTGGCGAAAAATCCAGGCAAAATTGACGGATGATGTTTTGCGTTGTGCATGTTACAAAGATTTTAAATAATCAGATACAATTAGTGTGCAGCTTATAAAAATGTAACAATGTAATTTTATTCTACGTGTTTACGTTTTTATGGGAATAGATTCATTACAGGATATTTTACAATTATTTTATGTACACGTTACAATTATTGCAAAGATATTAAGTCGATACTTTTCTCGAAGTCATCAGGGTTCCTAAATCGAATCACTGCAAGATTACTTTAACAGTTCCAGAACGATCGTAAATTATAATCGATTCTCTAATTAAAGCAGACTGGTTTTGCTTGTTCGATAAAATGTGCATTGTGGGTTCACCAGAGTCGTGGAAGAACACAAAAAAGGTATAAAATCTATTATTGACCCAACCACGGCATATAAAATGAATATAATCACGTTATTTAATAATTATTACCGTTCACTGGACTCTTTATCGTTAATATAAATAAACGTTATACAATCATTATTATTGTACAGTGGATATATTCAATCTGTTTAGGATAAAATATGTTTTAATCTATCCGTAGTTTTTACTTTCTTCGTGCACGAATTTACTACTTTTAAACGATTCGGACAACCGGCTACTTTTACTCTATTTGATAATCAAATTTACAACCATCCAATTTGTTCTTGGCAAAGTAGTTAACGTGTAATAAAATGTGCCATAAAAATCAAGATACAGTTTCCAATCTTAATTTCCATACAAATTAAGACCAAATAGAACATATATAAGGTACAGTATTTTAATTAGTTCGATTTCGGTAACACTATCCTATTTAATAACCACGCGTGCTACGCAACAGGAAGTAATTACGAACGAAAACGCTGTATAAAGTAATTTACAACGTACACGGAAGGAACATTTAGCGTTAACGAGTTAAAGTTTGCCAAGAATGGCAAAACCAGTGGCTCGACTCTGCTTAATCAATCGTTAGGAAAAAGTTATGTATTCGCACTATAAGCGCGTATCCAACAAAGTCGAATAATTTACGGGAACGACTCAATAATTCATCGAATACGAAAATCATTAGATTAAAGCATGCCTGCGAATAATAAATCGGAATAAAACCCCGCGTCTGTATGACAAGTCTTTCGAGCACTTTCCTGATACACGATTATACTTTCGAAAACATACGTGTGCAACTCCACAAACAGTTCGAGTTCCTCAACAAAAGACGCGAAAATTCAACGTTAAAAAAAAACATCCCTGTTCGTAATTTCTGTACAGTAGACCCCCGTACAACACTGTTCACTTCTTTGCAATCGACAGCATATACATACTATTTATTTTTGTCCGAATTGTCCTATTTGGTGAAATATAGAAAATGAAAGTTGACACAACCATTCCTAAAGTGTTCTTTAGGTGCACGAACTATGATTCCCTTTCCCTCGAATCGAACCGCGATTTCCGGGCTGGAAATTCTGGGAACGCAAGAATGGAAAATCGGGTGTACGATTCGGTGAACGTTTCCGTGGGAACACGAAGAACGTAAGGGTCGAGGAAACCACGAGAAGAGCCCGCACGAGCCGACGGCTCGGCCAGCTCTGTTCTGTGACTGCGACTCCGGATTATTTGGATCCCTATCCCTACAGCTTTCTCTTTCCTCCCGTTTTCCCTTTCTCGCACTGTCTCTGTTCCCTCTGCTCGCTATCCCTCGACCCTCTTTCTCCTTCGCCCTCTCTGTGTCGCGCTGAATCCGTTTCCGTTGTGACTGCCGCCGCGCGCCGTCCTGCCGGGAATACTATTGTCCCTCGTCGCGACGAATTCGCCGATCTATCGATCCTCGCGGTACAACGTTCGTCGCGCGGGATTTCGATTTCGCGAGTCGATCGACCGACCGGGGGATAGAAAGATGGCCGATCGGTGACCGATCGAGGAACTCCGGAGTCGCGCCTAGGCGTCGGAAGACTCTAAAGTCGGGGACAATATTTTCCCCGGATAACGCCGGATCCCCTCGTTCCGTTTACCATTCCGTTTCGTCTGCCGTCTGACTCGTGGGTGGGGTAAGCTTGTACTACAGCCACTTCTCTCTGTCTCGTCGGTGGGGACGATTCATTCAGAGAAACTGCCGTGAAAGGGACACCTGTTGGCACGGAGGCCCGTTGACAATTCCGGAGTACCAAGGGCACGTGCCTCTACCCGAATCTCCTACCCCGTACTCGTCGAAGGATTGGATCGCGAACGAGAAGAATCGTGACTCGCGAGTCGGAGTCTATCGAACGGGAAAAGAACTCGAAATGGAAATAGAAAACCTACGAGGCTGATGATCGAGGAGCGAGAAAGCGAAGCCTGCGCGGAGTCTCGGTAGCGAGAAAACGCCCGGACAACGAGAAGAAGCCGACGCGCGATTAAAATATTTTTTGGTCGACCGGTAGCACGGTACGGAACGTAGCTGGCCGAAGATAAAGTGCTGCCCAGAGGCGACACCGGGCGTTATTAATACACGCGAGGATCGTAGCTTCCGTTCGCGGGAACAGGAGCTGCAAAACCAGCGACCGAGCAACCGTGGGTGGCTCTGTATACGATCACCATGATCGAGTATTGTTTTTGCGTCGAAAAGCTCTAACTTGTACTCCAGTTTCGGTCGATTCCTTGTCGAAGGTTATCCGTATAGGCTTACCTGGCCGTGGTGCAATCCCTGTAGAGCACGTCAAAGTCCTTGCAGCTGAGCAGCTTGCACCGATTAACGCCTGGCTGGATTGCTCCGAGTCCGCGTAGGATCCTAACCTGCTCGACGTTGCATACCAACGGCACTATATCGAGCCTCTTGAGCTTGGTGTAGACGGTGTGCAGGCCGCCGACGAGGTGCTTGAGGAAGAGCTCGAAGGCCTGGGGCAGACAGAGCATCGTGTCCCCGGCGATGATGAACGCGGCGACCTTCTGGCCGCGGTAGTCGACCAGCTTGCACTCGTTCGCGGTGGGATCGCTGGTGCTGATCGGTGGCGGACTGTTGTAGGACCTCGGGGGCAGAACCGCGTGATGCGCGGCCATCAGCTCGAGCGGCGAGCCATGGTGGCCGCTGAGCATGCCGCCGAGCTGACCCAGCAGCCCTAGTCCCGGCGGCGGCAGACCCGGCATATGGGGCACCATCGTTGGCGGTGCACCGGGTGCTCCTCCGGCAGAAAGAGGCGGCGGGCTCAACGGAAGTCCTTGGGGCGGCGATCCCCTGGTCGGCGATCCCGGCGTGGGAACGCCGCGATGTTTCTGTTGCGATTGTTGCTCGCGGATCTGGTCCCGCGGATGGGGCTGCTGGTGCGACGGCGGCGGCTGATGCTGGGAACCGTGAAGCTGTTGCTGCTTGCTCTGCTGACCCGACGGGCTATGGGGATGCTTTGGACTGCCGGTTACGGGACTGGCACGACTGCTGTGATCGGAGGAGCTATCCATCGCTCTGTGGTCCATGGAGTGTCCGAAAGGCGCGCGTCTATCCGTTAGTAGAACACGTTACGTTCGAGTTGCAGCGTTACCAAGCGACTCTGCATTAAGCTGCCGAAACGGCTTGTCAGCCGTTCGGAGTGATTTCCGTGTTGTTGCGTCTCGGTCTCGTCTCGCCTCGGTTCTCGCGCCACATGGACACCATGGGATACGAGACAAGTGCCCGCTGCGAGTCAACGCATGCTAGACCCGCGGTCCGATTCTCGACCAGCCGACGAGGCGCATCGTGTCGATCCAGGATTATCGGCCGGACGGATCGATTTCCTCCAACCGTCACTGAACACTTGGAGCAAACTGTACCGCGGTCTACGTTGGACCATGCACGCGCAGATAACAACTTCACTGTGCACAACCACTCGAACAACCCTGTCCATGACAATCGGATGGTGTCCACTCTGTGGCTACGGGGCTACGAGCGACCGCGTGTCCGTTCTCGGGGTGGACAGGTCCGTGTGGGTGTCCGCGTGTCGGGCAGCTACGCTCTCGAGGAGCAGCCGAGCTGCCCCTCGCCTAACAGTCGACACCCGCGTCGCGAGTTCTTCCTAGCGACGCGTAGCTGCTGCCGGAGGCTCGATCACTCGCGAAACTGGAGCACACCGAGCGTCAAGATCGCGCGAACAAGGGGTCGCGCGACAGATATCGCCGACGACCGAAACGTGGACGCCGGAGCGTCGTCGACGACCAGGACGACGTAAACGCGAGCGAACGGACGCGACGCGACGCGACGACGAGTGACGCGCGACGCACACGCACCGCGAGGAACGTAGGTACACCGCGGGCGACGAAGGATGCTGTCGCGGTGACAGCGAACGCGACGACGGCAACGATCACAACGACGACAACGACGAAAGCGGCTGCGGCGGTAACTCGCAGGAACGCGCGTCGCTCGTTCTCGAAGTGGCAAACGCTCTCTCGGTCGAGTCGGGAGTATTTCCCTACCCAGTCACAGATGTAATAAATAAAAACATCGGTGGGAGCCCGAGGAACAGGGAGGATGGGCGTTCTGTGCGCGCAACCGAGTATCCGGTTGGCGGAGCGACCGGGGTGGCAGTTATCCCCATTGGTTAGCGACCTCGCGGCGTCTACGCCTCCCGTGCCTTCCCCCGGTAGGTGGTGGGACCAGCGGGTATTCCCCACCAGGCGGCAACCTCTGCCACCGACGACGGCGACCGGGACGATTCCGGGGGCGACTAACACACGGAGACATCCAGACGCAGACGCGAGTCCCGACAAGACAGTACGATTCGAACCTACCGCCGATCTACGCGCTACGAGTGGGGATTTCTTCTTTTTCCTCGCGACCTCTCCCTCCAACACCCTCCACGGCTCCCGCCTCCCCCTACCGCCTCGCGCCTAGCGCCTCGCCACTCCTAAATTCTAACCCACCCCTCCCCCCCACCCTCTGCCGCCACTCTTGTCGCGTCGCGTCCCTTCCCTTCTTCGTCTCGTTGTTTCTCCTTTCTTCTCTACCCCTTTTTGCTTTCTTCTACTCGGCACCCCTCCCGTTTCTTTTTCTGTTTCGTTCTCGAGTCTCTTCTACTTACCACCCTTCCTCGGTGCGCACCGGTGTACCTCTCCCCTCGCCCCACCCCACCCCACCTCCTCCCATCTCACCCCATTTCAACCCCCCTTCCCCCTTCACCGCCCCTCGCCCGAAGCCCCCACGTTCCTCGCCCGCAGTCCTCGTGGCTATTCCGTTCTCTTCTCTTCGCTTCCCCCTGCTTCGTTCACCTTCTTCGCTCTTCTTCGCCTATCGTCGCACTCTGGTCTCGTCTCCTTTCCTCCCCAACTCACCCTCTCTCTCTCGCTTTCTCACGCACGCGTTCCTTCTCTGTCTGTTGGTGCCGGAGTGCCAGCTTCCCCTGCCTCTTCGTAGCTTCCTCCCACTTCTTCCGGCGGCTTCTCCTCCCACCTTGGCTTATGGCTTGCACGCTCTCTGGAACTCGCGCTCTCTCGCGCGCGACCAGCGCTGCACTCGCCATCTCGTTTCCTCTTTCGTGGCCGACCTATTCTCCGAGTCTCTCCTTCTCCCACCCGGCTTGCCTGCCTGCCTGCCTGCCTGCCTGTCTCTCGCCGTTTCTCCCTGTTCCTCTGTCCGTACGACGAAGAATGTCGCCGGCGTTCGAATCGATCGGTCGGTCTCCCGCGCGTGCGGGGGGGTTCCCTCCCCCTCCCACTCATCCCTTCGCCAAGGAGAGCCTGACCCCCTTGCCGCCTTCTTCTTCGCCGTTCCCTCGCTGGATCTCCTCTACCATATTCGCCATCAGCATTACACGGGCGCGCTTATTTCTTCTGTAGGTAACTCCGCTTCCTCGCGATCTCTCTCCGCTCCGCGGCCACCCTCTTTCCGACTCTGCCCGCCGCCCTCTTCGTTCGCCCCCTCGCGCCATGGCACCGCGTCGCTACCACCGTTTCTTCGCTTTTCTCCTCCTCCACCTCCACCTCCCGGTAACATGCGCGATATACCATACCCGACACTCTCCGCGGGCTCTCGGTAAGCTCCCAAGTATGAGTGCTTTGATATCTTTGCGCCATACCTAAAACATCCGTATCCGCCGATGCTTCTTACGTCCGAACTTCCCTTGGTCTCGTCCGTCGTTAATTGGCCCGTTAATCGCGGATGGAGCAACAAACGCCTCCAGTCTTGGCTCGCAGCCTGAGAAATCTTGCACGATTTTCCGAAACAAACTCACCTTCCGGTGCCCCGAGACCGGATATGTCGAACGCGAGATCGGTCGACGTCCGAGCGCGTCCGCCGACGCGCACACCGGAGGGAGGGATTCCAGAGGAGAGAAGACCCCCGCTGTCCGATTAACTCGTCACGGGCGGCTGTTCGGAGGCTGTCGAGAGATAGGCGAGATATGAAGAGGAAGGCAGAGGCCGCATCGTTTGGCCTTTTTCTAGCGGTCAACCCCCGATCAGTCCTCATCGGCCCGGTGACCCAGATCCACGAGGAAAGACCCTCCGCGTTCGTTACGCGTCCACACGTGTGTACGTGTATCGGGCTTCGCACACGTACACCTCCCGACGCAGCTGATCCCTTGACCTCGTGCAACCCCAAACGGAACGAGACCCCCTGGGCCTAACGTTCATTGACCAGCCTCGCTCCGAAGAGCGGGGGCCGATCGTCTTCTCGCTGTTCCAGTTTCCCGACAAAAGCTGCTCTCGACTACGTCTTTGCCCAGTTACCCTCCGCTCGATACGAACTAACCACCCCGAAATCGCTGTTTCCTTCGTAAACTCGAGATTCGACTACCCCGAACCAAATCGAACCCGCGTCCGCCCCGAGAGGGTGTTTCGTTTCCAGCGACGATAAAGTCATCGTTCGCGGCGACGAACCGATCGATCGCGAGATCCAAGTCCCTCCGTTCGAGGAAGGTCGAGGATCGGTAGGGGACCGATGTTTGCCACGAACCAAACCACGTCCAATTAGTGGAATTAATACCGGTTGGCTTTGGGGGAGCTAATGCCTCTGTGTGCATACCTACGGGTATGCACGCCGATGACTGCACTTTCCTTCGTGCGTAATGAAGGACAATCCCGTCGGTCGGACCGACTCGACGCATTCGCCCGTCCAAGCAACCGCTGCCTCCTCTTGTTTTGCGGTCACGAGAAAATATCTCGAACCCACGGGCTTACGACTTCCAAGCCTGCCACGGCTAACGGTGTCCAGGTCTTTCCGACGACTCTACAACAATTTCGTTCGCGGTGCTGTTCGCGTTCTCTAACGCAGTTTGCTCCTTTTCGTCGATTAAAGCCTCACAGGCGAAACGATCTTTTAGCCAGAATGTGGAAACAAAACTTTAACTATTAAAGGATGGGTGGTTTCATTATTGGATTGCACCGCCTCGCGCAGAGGACTCTCAGGAATAATCGGAATAATTAAAATATCACTCTACTTTGATAATTGTATCAACAATTTTGACGCTTCGAACTACTGTTTTGAATCGACTCCAGGATGACCATTAGTCTATCGAACGACGTAGGGTAGAATTCAAAGAATTTATGAGATCATGTTGCACAATGGAAGTTTTACCGAGTTACATGCAGTAGTGATCTTTTAAAGAAAACATTGGGTACTATCAAAGAAGTTACGAAGATTATTTATACGCCCATAATACTGTCTTGTTACGTAGAATACACGTCTCTATAAAATTCCAAGATGGAGTGCTCGAGAAATCGATAGTCGGATTTGGCATTTTCAACAGGTAAAGTTGAACACGACGTAACGAAAAGAGAAACTAGCAATTGTATCTGGGGTAATAAGATGAAATGAAAATACGAGAGATATGATAATATGTTTTTTAGCGCGTTTCGCATGCGACGATAGATTCGAGCGTTCACGCGAACGGTGCTCGGTGGGATCGTTCTTGTTGCTGTTCATTGGCCACCCCGCAACGAGAGAATTGCGCGATGCAGAGAACGGTTGCCCGTTGTGCATAGGCCGTTACGTAACCCTCGTCATTGTTTGCGCGTCGTCGTTGCAGAACTGTAACAGACCGTAGGACAAAAAGGAGGGTAAGCGTTGCGTCGGCCAAGGGAGGGAGAAAAAGCGCGGATTTTTGTCGGTAACTCGTTCGAGACGGAGGCATCCCGTGGCAGCGAACCGGACACGCGCCGGAAGGACTCCGGTGCACCGGAAGCGTCGATCTCCTCGGTGTCTCTTCACGATCGGTCCGCGATTACCCGGACGCACGACACGCGGCGGATTCTTCGTATTTTTTGCAGAACGGCGTGCACCGCCATCGCTCCGGTCGTCTTTCCGTTGTCCTTGAATCCCAGCCTCCCGTCGTCCCCTCGATATCAGAGGAAAGAGAGAGTATCGATCAAATTAACGTAATTACTCGTTCGTGCGAGAGATACTATACGTGAGCGTCGCGGGCCGGCGAATCGGGCGTCAAAGTCGATCGAGAGGAGTCACGAAAGCGCGGGATTTTGCGAAACGCTAATTGCGTGCGGTTTTCAATGCCTGCCGGGACGGCCGGAGGACGGAGAAAAATCAAGAGGCGGAATAATGGATTCCGGAGCGGCGGCGGATGAAAAACGACGGTAATTTTTCTGGACACGTACATACGCCACCGTTCGGTTTTTCAGCGCGGCTTACGCGCAACTAATTACCCATATGCCACGTGTTATTATAAATAGCCAATCGTTACCGACACAGCCGCGTCCGCGATTCGCCCATAATGGCGTGTTATCGGATAAATAAAACGGATAGCCACGGGAGGGTGCGCTCCGATTATGCATCGACGCCTCCCGTGAGCGTATGTACAACCTACACTCTCTCTCTGTCTCTCTTTACCCACGTATCTCTCTCTCTATGGCCACCAACATTGTGTTTTCCCAACGAACGACCAGCTTTTATTTCTCGTCGACTTTAATCCACGCGCGCGGTGACGACAACGCCGAGCATTTTTATTCGGTGCGGTGAGCTCGCTTCTTCCCCCCTGCGAATCTGCTCGTCGAAAATTCTCCAAGAAACCTCCGCCACGGGAATCACAAGTTTATCATAAACGCAACTATCGACTGACCACCGAAATCTTGCGACTCGACGCCATTACAATCATGTTAAGAAAACTAACCGACCAACAAGCGACATCGTACGCTAAACTTCCATCTCGTTTTCGATCAGTTACTTTCCACTCGTTCGATAGGATTCGACCCAAAGCTGCGTTCGTGCTAACAGCCACCATCCAGCCAGATCCGTCCCATGGCTGGCAGGATGGCACCCGTCTACCGCGATATTCGACCTAAACGCATTAGAAAGCTCATTTAAATACGATACAATGGCGAACCCGAGCTCCCCTGGTCGAAATAATGCTGTCCGTAGCCGCGAACGAGGCGACGTCGAATCGTCCCATCATTCTTCGATCCGTCCGTCGACGAATCGCCGCGTGTCCCTGCCGGGGGGGGCCCGCGACGACCAGACATTTTGTCTCTTTTCGTGCAAAAACGACGCCTCGTCTCTAGGCGCGAGACGCGGTTTCTCCCGACGCGTCA